ATCTGAATTGTTTTCCTTTCTAAAGCCTCATGTGGACCGGTGTTGAGAACTACACTCAGAATAATAATTCATTGGATTAACATGATTTTATCATGCCACCTATATTCCATCTAAACAAATCATGTTAAGTGAGCCAAACTTTATCATGTTATTTGAACACAATATACATGTGTGGGTTCAACATCATATTAATATTTGCACACAACTAATTTGCATCTTGTTGATTTTAAATGGTTGTTCTTAGTTATTTTGGTTAAATCAAATTGAATGTACTCTACATTGGTCAAACACCTAAGTCGAACAAAATTCAACCTTGTTGTATCAATACATACGGGGTTTGTCAGTTATACTAATGTCAGTGTTATTGAATGAACTAATGTCAATCTCGCTGGTTTAATTAGTATTGCTTTCATTCCTAGGACAAGAATGTATTGTATATGACCAAACGTGCATAAAAATGACAACATTCAAATTCATGACATTTTATTTAACATTTGGCGTTAATAAACCTTTTGCCAGCATTACCCACAATGCAATTGTAGCAATTTGCTACTGAATAACATTTTTAGCAGATAACATACAGCTTCTTCTGGAGCCCCAAAAGTATATGTTTTCTTCACATAAGCAGAAATACCTTAGACATGTTAAAACATTTTAACGTAAAATTGGTGGGGTTTCCTCATGTAAGGTTAAAGTTTAATATACATTTTTTCCCCCAAATGCATCTAAAACATTTTCTCATCAAAACATTTAACACTACTGAACAGCATTATAAAATCTTTCAGTAAGTGCATGACTGTCATTTCAAGTTCTTACAGTCTTCCTGCAGAAAGTAACCAGGAACAAACAGCTACACTAGACTGCTTGCAAACACATTTCAACCTGAGACAACATTCTTGATCTCTGTCTGTTGAGCATACTGAATGCAAGTCCTTCTGAACATTTTCATGAATTCTAATTTTAAACTAAAGCAAAAAAAAAAAATCTGCATTGTTGACATCTACTTAGGTCATCTCCAGGCTCCGCACCCTCCTTCTGTATGACATACACTCCCAACACAGTCTGGTCCATGGAAGCGCTGACCTCGCTGTCTGTGTTCTGTGGGATATAATAAGTACATTTTGTTTTATGTTTGCTTGAATTTATGACTTCAACCCAGCTCTGCACAAAACAGATGATAAATATTGTCATGGTTGTTTAAAACTGAGAACACTAAATTTGATGTCTCTAGTTTTCAAACTCAAAGAAATTTCATAATTAGATAAAATAATAGGCAGAATTTGTATTAGGCCTAAAAGGTTTTAAAGGTATGTTTTGCTGCCTAAAAGGTGCAGTGTGTTATAACATGTATTTTGGCATCATCAAGTGATAAGATTTTATATGTAAACATTCCCTTTAGGGAGAATTTACAGAAGCTACAGTGGCCTTCAAGGACAATAAGCTAGGGACTAAAGATGACATCATCCACCACTGCCCCAAGTCTTTCTACAATATCAAGTGATGAGGTGAAGATGTATGCAGTTATTTATTCTCTCGTAATTATTCTTATTCTAACAGGTGCATTTCCCCAGAACACCCACTATATATAAAACCCTGTAAGGCTGTTAACTTTGTCCCTTCTGTGCTACTGCAGAAACATGGCGCTGCTCCTCACTCCTGTGTAGATATAAAATGCTTATTCTAAGGCCATAAAAGAAATAACTTATTTTCAAGAGATTATACCAATAAAAAAATACTTAATACTGAATATTATATTCAGAGTGTGTTCTGGAAAAACGGCAATTCCTTTTACACACTGGAGCTTTAACACATACGTTTCACCGTTAATTTCTACTGTGAATTTATCATACCAAGCAAGTAAAGATTTGCTCTTTCCAATTGTTTTACAGCTACTTTGTCAAACATTGTGTACGTAACTCACCATATAATCCTTAACAAGTTTCTCTGGGTCTTTGTTCAAGTAGATCCACAAGGACTTGAGGACACATGCACGTCTTGTGTCGTCCTGAGTGAATATCAATTTATGATATTCCGTGTCTTTACTAACTTCAGGTACAACAGGAAAAATATAAAAAAGCACTACAAAAATTACAATACGAACTTTACAATAAAAAACTTTACTTTAATACTGTGTATGGGCATCATTTATAGGCACTGAAATCAAAAATCCGACACCAGTCTTGCAGATACAGCTGACAGTGTATTATGGCTGCTTGATTTTGGTACAAATCATGATTATTAAAGACATTGTTTGAGAACATCATGCATTTATTTAACTTTGAACACAGGTGTTTCTTTTAACACAATTCATTTGAACTTTAAATATAGGCCTAATTGAACTGAAGAACAAGAAAACGGCAAATAAGTGAAAAATATATTCAAAAAAGAATAAAATAAATGTCAAAATAAAAAATTAAACCGTTACTAATGGTGTTGATAGGGCACGTCTTTTGCTAACAGGAATGTGAGGGCATCCGTTATTTCTTTATGTAAAAACATTGTATAAGCAGAAATCAACTCTTTAATACAAACCTTGGAAATATCCACCATGACATGTCTTATTCTTCTTCCAGGTGCTCCACCTTTGCACTGAAATATCTCCATCAGGCACGGAGAGAACCGGTCGAGAGCAGCAAAGAATGTAGAAAGTAGAGGTACAGTTGATATGCGATGGAACTCCTTATCGATCTGGAAAACAATAAAGCAAATGTCACTAACCCTGTAAGAACATCACAAGTCAAGAAGAATGAGCAATGAACTATTAGTTGTTTAATCATTGTCAGTAGAGAGAAAAATAACTGGTAATAATTAAACCTGAGCACACATAGGACACGCACCTCTTTCGCATTGAACAGAGCTGGCCATCTGCTCTTGAAGTCTGCAACCAAAGGCTCTCCTGCAAGGATTTCTTGCCTCCTGCATGAGAAAGTCTTCTCCATTGTCAATGTCACAATATGGTCGTTGTTGTTCTTCTTATTTTCTGAAAGCAGTGCGACTCTTTCCTTCTCCAGACTCTCAGCGGTTTCTCCTTTTGGATGCTGAGGACAGTAATTAACTTCTGCCCTCCTGGGCTTTTTCACATTCAGTGCTGCCAAACGCTTGTCTTGGTTCTTGTTCTTTAGTGAATTTATCGTCACCTCAGGACACCCATAACAGCCATTGAAGGATCCTTGCTCCCTCAGACAAGGATGCTTTTTCACAAGTGCTTCTGCAACGTCAGTAAGATCATTGTCAGTTGGATAGGCTTTGAATTTAAGAATTTCTTCAGACAGTCGTTCCAGAATGTGAGATTTCAGCTTCGGTGGCGAGCTCAAATAAGTTCCATTCGCACTGCATTCAGCATTGGCCGTTTCAAGTTGCAGTTCAGACTCATAGTTGAAGGGAGGCACTGTGAAAACACTTGGCCAACTGAACAGCCATGCAGATGGCGATGACCCTGATGATGAAGTAACCCTGTATTATCCGTGTCAACCAAGGAGACTGATGAGGAATCAGTAAGGCTTTGGACTGGTAGAGGTTGAAGCATCGAGTCATCTTCTGTAGAATTTTGCAAGTAGACGGCCACAACATAGACCACCTTTAAAGTCGCTTTGTCATCAATGTCAGTGATCTCTGACAGATTTATGAACTCATTTCCAAAATCCGCATCTTGATATTGAAGACGGAAATCTTGCTCTAATCCAAAACTCATCTTTATAGTCTTGTACAATTCCTCCATGGAGCCTGGTCTACCTACACACACACACACACACACACACACACACACACACACACACCACACACACACACACACACACACACACACACACACACACACACACACACACACACACACACACACACACACAAACAAACAAGTTGAATATATCCCAATAACAAAGAGGCACTTTTATGACAAACGGTGATGTTTATTTATTTATTTATTTGACAGGTATAATGCACAGGTCCTTGCGTGATGGTTACATGATTATGTTGATTTTGGCGGTAAATACTTACAAACATTATTCTTATTTTCCGTGCAAGTTAGTGTGTCTCTTCAGAGAAACCAGATGCAGGCATCCCACTGAATAGGCAGCTAACGGGTAGTCATCAAGTAGCTCCCCATGCTCAATCAGAGGCACCTCTCTCACATGTGACGTGCCCAGTTCGAAAGCTCTAAAGTGCTCTCTAAACCAACTGGATAACTTTTTCACAATAAAATGTATCTTGCCTTGCAAAATACAAATCTGCAGAATTTCAGCTAACTCAGGCAGACCAAATAATTGCCCATGACATATTGAAATGACCTCCTTTGTTCGACAGATAAAATATACTCAACAGCCTCTACAACTCTAAAATTTAGCTTGTAATATTGTTTTCTTTTATAGGATGTGGCAAGAGGTCCACACTTTTCAAAACTTTTAGCGACAGGGTTAGAGAGAGACACAGAATTGGCAAGTTCTTCGACCACTGCCTGACCAATATTGAGGTTATGGCTTTTGAAAATTTCTGTAATTGTACGCTTTGTGACAGGTACACTAGCTGAACTTAAAAAATGAAACTCCTCCAACAACTCATCTAATCCTTTTGCTGGAATATGAAATATATGTTCTAATTTTAACAATATTGTTGCTATTTTCCGCTCAATTACTTCTGGTAGATTTTCAACAGCTCCACTATCGTTTTCTGTCACTGTCTCAGCCTCAACCTCATCAAATGACACATCAGAACAGCCAGCTACAACAGCATCAGGGGCATCCGATCCTTGGACAGGCTTCACAAACTTAACTACACTGGTTTTAAAATCTTTTAATGTGTATGGATGATGCTTTCTCTTTTTGTGTGTGTAAAATGTACTGTAAATATTTGTCTGGAAGGAGCGTCCAAGAAATACACAACCAACTGTCTCACAACTGTGCAGATGTGTCCCAATATGAATAAAAAAATCTCTCTCCGTAGAGAGGTCACTACATTCACATACCTTGCATTTAAATGATCCTGAATTTAAAGCAGTTTGTGTAGGTTGAGAGGAATGAGCTTTATAGACATGGGTGTGAAGTCCAGTCCACGTCCTGAATGTGCAAGGCATTGATAATGTTGGCTTCTCCCATAATGATGATGTGGTTTATAATGTTTAAGTAATTTGTACCTACTACTCTCTCTTGCCACACAATGTTTGCACTGCCACATACACGTCACTGAAAGAAAGAAGAGAAGAAGAAAAAAAAAAGATTAGCAAATGATAATTTATGTACACTTTAGCTCAGCACTTGACTTAAATAAATCTTCCAAGCCAGAGAATTTTTCATGTGCCTGTACATTAGGAGTACTGTAGGGGTTCTGTCCTTTGAAATGCCAAAGGAATTTTAATGTTAATGCTTTAATATTGATGCAGGTGATGATGATGAGTTTGTATTAACAATGCAGTATCAAACATTGAAAACAGAAAACTGGAGGAAATCTGCAAAAAGGAAGCTTAATACAAAATATGAACAAATATACCGGTATTTATCAGGCCTCGTACAGCAGGAATTAAAGCAAATTCATTTGGAAAAATAATGTAACACTACATATAAGCTAAAACACTAATCCTCAATTTTAGATGTGTGCACAACGCACATTTGGCACTGGATAATCAATATGATAAAAATATTAACTTACCATGTACTGCATGAGGTACATAAACATCTCAAGGCATGGGGACTGCTGAATTTCTGATGTATTTCTGGTTAATAAAAGAGAAACAGTTATAAAATGTTAAAAACTCAAGCAATATTTAGGCATATGTTGTGAATAAACATTTCAGTATTTGTAGGTAGACACACAGACCATTTAACTTAATGTAGAGGAACATATATTTAATAAAACAAAACCTAAATACAGATAGTGAATCATTTTCAGAATGGTACAACTGACCAGTGAAAATCCAAGGAAACGAACATACTCGACATGTTCTAATGTTGTTAGGTTAGAGACAGAACTATCTAATGAATTCAACTTGCTTCTTGTTGTTACCTTAACACAACTGCTGCGACAGACCCGCTGTCCTCCATCTTAACTTATTTCAGTTAACACATTTAGCCCGCTTAACTGAAATACACACAGCTAGAGAAGCGCAGGAGTCGTCAGTCACCCATAAAGCCCCGGCTGAAAACAAAAGCGAGTCCGTTGATTTAAGCCGAAGCCTTGTGCTAAAGTTTGTGCTTCCTCTGACATTAAAACAATAATGCTCACGATACAGTCACGCTAGATTAACATTAACCGCTCGAAACACATTTGACTGCGGTGGACTACTTACAAACTTTGTTGTATGTTAATCTATCGCTATTTGAATGGCACATGAAGTACACAAAAAAACAATAATGAGAAATACTGTAGCTACTCTGGGTGTAAATGATAGAAACCTAGCATGGCGGAGTTGAGCTACCTAGAGCTAACTGAGAAATCATTGACACAAATGATAAACTTTTTAACTGAGAAATGTCTCACAACTATAATTTATCACTCGCCAGGTTAAATTAAAACATTTATGTTTGTATATATATGCATTACTTACATGTTAGTAGGAAGTTAAACATTCAGCCGCAGCATGTGCTCGTCAGTGTCAGTCTGTCTCTGCGCTCGGTCAAGGGCTTTGAGCATGCACAATAGCTGACACAGTACAACAGTAGTTGTTTTGATGAACCCACATCTCATTGGATTGATGTGTGTGTTTATAATTGTTTTATGAACAAGAATTAATCATTTAATAGAGCGAAACACGATTAATTCATTTTATGTAAACAAATTCCTAGTTTGCTAATCAAACACATGCCCTAGTTCATTTCTTTGAGTGTAGCATGCTTGCTAAAACACTTAAAAAATGCATCTGGTTCGTCCGATGTATCTGTGATGGCCATGCCAAATGAAGTCTAGTATTATTACTTTACTGAGCTAGTCAGACAACTCATTTGCCAATATTTATTGCAGCAGATTTATTGAGCAAGAGTGCAGCACTGGTGCAGATCAGAGCTGGCAATGAAGGAGCAGAGGGAGAGAAATTGAAATCTTGCAGCTTAAATAGACAGCTAATTGGAAGGAGGTGTTGTCAGGTGATTCTTGAAAAAGAAATTGTAAGTAAGTATTAAGGAGTGTCTATGCACTTAGTATTAATATTCTTATCACTTGCCCTTTCTGCATGTTTCAATGTACAGGATTAGACAGCCAGATAACATTCCAAAAGTCCTCCAATAAAAACACAAGGCATGTCTTTTCTGTATTTTACTGGAGTTTTGAATCCATTTGTTTTTTGTTTTTAAAACTGTAATATTAAAAACATGCTATCATAGCAATGAAAGGAAACTGTCACCTACTACAGTTAGCATTAGCTAGCAAAGAACATGTAAGACAAAAAGAACAAAAAGTGAATTTTGTATTTATATCTCGACAACAGACGTGTAACAGAAAAGCATTCAGCAGCAATGTGAATCCTTACTTAACAACTACCCACAGTGACCAGTAGATGGCTGTATAAACCACAAGCTAATGCAGAAAGTTTTAGGTTTTTTAATTTTTTAACTCTAACTTATTATGACCACTTTTTAACCTTACATTTCAAATTACTGACTTCAAATTAAAGGCAGGACAATTGTTTTTGTTCCAAAATTGTAGGGAACCTTGATAGTGATTAACCTACAGTGAAGTTTTCACCTTACTCTACATATTGTTAATGGGATTACATTTTTATGTGTATAGATTGAAATCTAGGTTACTAAATAAATAAATAATAATATTAAATAGAATGTTTCATATTCTTACCAGTTTCAGTTGGTTTGTAGGGATAGCAGACTTTAATACACAACTTTTGCAGTAGTTTCTTTTGTTTGCAAAAAATAAATCACACTCACACACATAAATTGCACAATTATTTTTTTTATTTTCCCATAAGTGCAGGAGTAATTTGCACAATTCTACAACTCGAATCATATAAAACTATATATACACATCCTATAGAAATATGATCTAAATTACTGCAACAAACTACTCTGAAATTACAATTCTAAAACAATAAGAAACATTTCTTAACTTTGAAATAAAAATGTATCTGCTGTTCTCCTCATCACAAGCAAAAAAAAAGCAAACATACAAAATATAGCTCAAATATTAATTCAGATTCTTTTTTAATGAGCACAAAAAATTCCTCCTCTCTGAACAGTCTCTGAACAAACGACTTCCTGTCTTCGACATTGTCCCACAGTTCATCTTGGGTTTAGGGCAGACCAGCAGTTGTTCCTCCAGAGGGAAGCCGTTCACCCACAGCCAGTTTCCTGCCAGGAAACGTAGACCTATCCACACCTCCTCTGTTTGGGCCTTTTGGATCAAGACTTTGGCATATAGGTTGTTATGTTCAGCATGCATGTGTGGAAGGTCGTAGAGATGGTTGAAGTGCGTGTCTTTTGAATCAGGGTCAGTTTGAAGGGTCCTGCAGTGTTCCAGAGCCTCCTCCCATGTCTTCTTTTCTTTCACTAAGATCAGATCATCCTCAGAGCAGAAACTTTCATATTGGCTATTACATTGTGTATCAATCCATCGTTTGTTTCTCATGACAGCACACTTTTCATGTTCATTATTAGGTTCACCTGAGCCCCACCTTTCAAAGCTGACTTCTTCTCCATTAGCCCAGTTCCAAACAGCGGCATTTGTATCATCTCTGTGGAGACCGATCCAGCATCGTTCAAAACTTCCGCATGTATCCTCCAGTGCCTCATACTCGCTCTCATTTCTGAAAACGGCCAGGTCAGTATGGTTCGCTCTGCAGTATTTTTGGGCATCATCCCAAGTCATTTTAATAGGCACATGAACATACCTTCTGTGTTGTTCAGAAGCCTGAATGAAAAAGACAAAGATGAAGTAAAAGATGAGGACAAAGAGACTGGTGATATTGCATGCCATCATCACGATTCCCCAGCGGTGACTGTTGTTGACTTTTTGTCAGCTTTAACAGTCAGCAAAAAGACTAATGCGTGCTCTATGTAAAACCTTGAGGTTTAATACCTGAATTAAAGTCTGTGTGGGATGTGCCTGTTCATTATTCACAGACACACGCACACACATCCTACCATCTCACTCCCGATTGCTCCAACATCAAACTGACCAATTACATTACCTACATTAACAGAGGTGCATCAGCACACTCACAAGTGAAGGAGCAGTTCAATTAATCTGGGTAATTTATTACTTATTTAAGGTTTACAATGATAGTGCACAATTGATACAAAGTTCAATAACTAGTGGAAGTCTAAGACATTACAGACCATTTACAATTTAATTATATATGTTAATGAAAGACAACTTCAGCACAACAGTAATTGTAATGAGGTAAAAGTGTAATTTGCTTCTGATTATTTCACTTTAAAATAACTTTTTGAAAATTGAAAATGGAGCCCTGGTTACCGTATTTTCCGCACTATAAGGCGCACCGGATTATAAAGCGCACCGGATTATAAGGCGCACCTTCAATGAATGGCCTATTTTAGAACTGTTTTCATATATAGGGCGCACCGGATTATAAGGCGCATAGAATAGAAGATACTGCAGTCAAACGTTTGACTGGGGTTGCGTTATGCATCCACTAGATGGAAAAAGGGAATGTCAACAAAACAGTCAGATAAAGTCAAACTTTATTAAGCGTTCTGACAACTCCGTTCACTCCCATGGTAACGATGTTCAAACGTTAATGTGCATATTAACAATATCTCCCAGCCTTGTTCACTCTTCTCCCAAACGTGGAGGGGAACTTTTCCCTGATTCAGTAAACACGTAACAGAAACAGTCTGATACCACTAAATCAAACGTTAGTGCATTCACAATATAGTAACTCTCGAAATTGTTATTGTGCATTCACAATAACTCAACGTTGTTCAAACGTTAATGTGCATATTCACAATATCTCCCAGCCTTGTTCAGTTGTAAACACGTAAAAGAAACACAGTCTGATACCGCTAATTCAAACGTTAGTGCATAACTCAACATTGTTCAGTTACGTATAACACGTAAAGCTCACTTTTTCAGTTCATTCCCCGTCCACGAATCCCTCAAATTCTTCTTCTTCAGTGTCCGAATTGAACAGTTGGGCGAGTACGGCATCCAGCATGCCCGGCTCCCTCTCGTCATTATCCGAGTCAGTGTCGCTGAGCGCCGTGTACAACCAGTATGGATCAACCAATTAACCAATTGATCCATATATAATGCGCTCCGGATTATAAGGCGCACTGTCGTTTTTTGAGAAAATTAAAGGCTTTTAAGTGCGCCTTATAGTGCGGAAAATACGGTAAGTTTATCCATATAACATTTAACATTTGTCCTCACACAGACAAGTAAGAGTTCAACTCAATCAGAAGAGCAAAACTCAGATAGCTGCAAATATGACCTTCTGCACATTTACCTGATCTGGTCTCTCGTTTCTGTAAAAAATAAAATAGGGTGGGGTGTAACAGGCTTTTGCATAGGGTGGGGTGTAACAGGCGTTTGCATATTTGCCTTCTCTGCCTTAAAAACTTACAGACTGTATAAAAGATATAAACTCCTGGATGTTCAGAAACTTTGTAAAAGTCAACACAGACAAGACTGCATTTCTCATTTTCGGTCCAAAAAACTTGGAGACAACACATCCATGTACACCTCACATCAAATTCCATTAAATACAGAGAGCAGGCCAGAAATCTTGGAATTATTTTAGACCCCAACCTTAGCTTTGAAAATCATATCTCCAACATTACCAGAACAGCATTTTACCATTTAAAGAACATATCAAAACTCTGATCCTTCATATCCCAAACAGACGCAGAAATATTAGTCCAAGTCCATGCATTCATCTCCACCAGGTTAGATTACTGTAATGCCCTGTATGTCGGGTTACCCAAACAATCTATTAGACGACTCCAACTTATTCAAAATTCAGCAGCCAGAGTCCTGACACACACAAGAAAATTTGATCATATCACCCCGGTCCTAAAAACACTCCATTGGCTCCCCCGTATAACACAGAATCACCTCCAAAATCCTTTTATTAGTTCATAAA